TCTTGGTTGCTACTGGCTACGTGTCCTCTCTAAATGGCTATACTTAGCCTTCAAGCGAGGAAGCAACAAACTAAACAACTTCTTATTACCAGCAGTGGTGATCAGTCGCAGATACAGTTTTTTAGGAGCTACACCGCACGTGCACCCTACGGTCCAGTAGTCTCTACAGCAAATAGCACAAATATGTACTCATACTATTACATGCCTGCAATTGAGAGAGAATTAATTCTCTGGATCGCACTTACTAAAATCCCATGGTGTTCTACCTCCGCCGCAAATTCGCGGGGCCACGGAAACGCTTTCATGCACATCCGCGGCCCCTCTGGCGCCAGCCGCCCAATGGCAGCCCCTCCTTAGTTGCTGACTTCTCCTCCCCGTTTTCTTTCTCAGGTAAGGCACACCAGAAATACAAGCCACACTGCCCTTCGCGGCCTCTAACTCCACCTGCACTACGGACTCCACGAGGCCGATATGTGAATGGTGCCAGGGAAAAAGCACTTGGAAACATTTGATTGGGGTCGATATGGCCCTTGGTTTGGTGGTGAGGGGAATAAATATTAATAAATCTAATACTTTTATACTTACTGGTACTGATACTACCAGAAAATATTGTCGGTATACAGTACTTTTTCAAAGTGGTGCAGTTCTCATATCTAATAAAACAGTCGTCTGTGAAATGTTTGGAACAAATATGATCATTTTGTTTCGGACGCCAATTCACAATATTTATGCTTTTAAGCCATAATTTTAGTCTAGGTTCTGTTGGAAACCTGTTAATTAATAAAAATTTGATAATCATCTGTTTTTGGCGACTTTGTTTGTTAACAGATATGGGTAGGAAAGAACATCGATAAGTATTATAGACAAGGAACTCGACAACCCTATTGAATGTTATTGTTTACCAAAACTCAGTAATATACAGCCAAACATGTTGGTATATATGATATTAAGATTAGTAACAAAATTTTAAGTACATATATTATCATATAGTTTTAATTTGTTAAATATTAGCTGCAAATTCACTTACTTGTGTAATGTTATACGACTTCCCTTTTGGTAACGAGTTTTACAGATTACGCTCACTCTCATTATTATTAAAATTAATTCTTAATATGTAACTAACATTATGCACCATCAAACAACATAAAATACTGTCGTTTTTTAGTTTAAAAGTTCAAAATAGAGACTTTGTAAATATCACAATATAAATAAGACAACAGACTTTGGCATATTATGTCAATTTTATTTTTCAAGACATTCTAGCGGCGTTGGTACAGTGACCAGTCCAGCGTACTTGTATATATAGAGGTCAGTGGAAATGAGGCATTCAATCTTAGTCCTCAGGGGTGAAGACGCACCTACATTTTAATTCCTAATCGTGGATACATGTAAATGTCTATCGGTCACAGCTTCCACTTACCATCAAGTGGACTATGTGCTCGTTTGTCACCCTTATTCTATAAAAATGTTCCATATTAAGTGATTAAATTTAAAAAAATGTGGGAGGAGCAACATACTATGCGAAATCGAGTCCCACTTTGCTTTAAAAAGAATAAATAAAAACCTGTTTAGTCGCGGCTGATTAAAAGTTTTTATGTTGAAAAAAAAACATCGCGCAAAACGTAATTGAATAAGCATGATGCGTAAAAAACAAAAACGTAACATGCACAACTAACTACACGTGGAAAAATCCTGTGAGAAACCACATCACTTTGCCTCGGAGGCTACAGACGTTATCGACTCCTACCAGCTACCGCTATTCCCCAGCAGCTTCGGGTTCCGGGAACTCCGTTTATAGCGAAAACAAGGCTCTCTCTCACTTTACGAGTAAGCACGTGCCGACTTCAGTACTCGCTTACCAGCAGCATCATTCCACTCCTCTAGCCCAGAGCCCCTACCCTAATTGCATGAACTGAATAATTACAGCTTCGCATATACTCATCAATAAGATTGCTGTAAAGTGAGGTTCTGGCCGATCTTTCGGGTGATTGTCTAACATAGGTCATAACGACAGAGTGTGGGTTGCGAAATCTTGCAGGCCTATTCGTTATCTTGTTTTGTTAGCTTTTGTAGAAAATATACTATATAGCAAACGACGCAATACACTTTAAAGTGATTACCATTACACCTTTACTCGTACAATAGGCATTATCTAGGGCTGATTTAGGACTATTACCGTTTAACATCAGGTCTGTCCGTACTTCGTAGTCATGCGTCGATCGAGTAATGATAAAATACGAGTATATCGAAGACTTAAAAATCACTCCAAACTGGATCAACATGGCGAAACTTCTACAGTTGATAGGAATTGAAATTTATAGGTGGCAAATGCCTTACAAAACAATTTAACTGATTTTCACACCCACAACATACGCCTCAGGCGACAGTTGCCTTAACCACACGACAATGCTGTTGTCCGATTATTATTATTATTATTACCACCTATTTTGATTCTTACAGGAAACGTGCCATTTGATCTTTGTTCTCAGGGGTGAGAGCGCATCTGCATTTTGAATCTCATTTGAGGATAGATGTAGATGTCTATGGGCCACGGGCCACAGCATCCACTTAACATCAAGTCGACTGTGTGCTTGTGCTCTTATTCTATTAAAAGAGCCCTCATGAGTCCTCTGCTACATAAATACGTCCCCCATAGGATACCACACCTATATGGTTTTAAGCTACCTGCTATTGGATGCTTCGATGCGCTTGCTAGTAGACGACTGACTTTCGAGGAACAAACCTTTTTAAATACCGTAAACTTACATGAATCATTTCAAGATGTAGAGTTTTCCTATTGTTTGAACAAATTCCTCTAATTGCTTTCCGCTAATTTATCTCGCTCCATCGATTAGACGCACCGGCAAACAATCGCATCAACAATTTGAAACGGACAAAAAAGCTCGTATAGGTAAAGTATGACAGTATCGTCATTATGTTCCTTCGCCGCGCGTTTTGTTCGTGGGGTCTTTAACCGAGCCCAAAATCGCTTGTGTCCGGCTATCGGAAGCCTGCGTCTAATGATTAAGCCCACGGACGATTCCTCTGTTACACCATGCGATAAAACTTAAGTTGTGGGTTTTTTTATTATTTTATACATAAGTCGGGTTATTTTTCAATATACGCCCAAATTTGGAGAATAGATTTAGAATAAGTATGTAGGCGAATGATGTAGAAAATTTATTGAAAAATATTAAACAATTTTTCCTATTTATGTTTTAAATTCAGGATGCTTGGTAACACATTATTTTAACTGATTTTCATGTTTATGTTTTTGTGGAGTGATTTTCACCAACAAACGAATCCCGCCAGAATTATACAATCGTAATGCATTATTTAATTGTCGAAAATTAAACAAATGGCTCCATAGATTGAAATTTGACAATTACAATGAAAATATTTTTATGTTAATTTGTACATCTATAATAATTAACCCACGGAGTTTTTTGTTAATTAGTTAAGTTTCCAGACCAATTTTAAAAAGCATGTGAAATTATCACGATGTGTAGTGACGATGTAAGAATATCCACCATCCCATATCGTCACCTGGGTGTCGTAAGAGGCGACCGAGGGACACAAATCAGGTAATGGGCAGGAACAACAGAGTCTTCCTAACAACAAATATAGTACGGCCAACTAGCAGCGATACGAAAGGTCATTTACCTTAAAAACAATTGTGTAGTTAACAATCTATTATCTATTTCTTTCCATCTTGTGTATTTGTCGTAATGTCTCGTTTTCCTGGCAAAAACATGTCAGGGTAAAGGCGGGTTCGCCAACATTCGGAAGGCCATTTTAGTACTTGTTGTTTATTTAATTATTGTTATTTTGTTTTGTTAATAATTGTTTTTAATAAGTGTTTTTAACTAATGATGGAGCCACAATCAAGTACGTCGAGAGATAAATCAACAGATTTTACTTCTCTGAAAAAGAAACGTCCAATAGGAATAGGATATATATGAATGTTGTTTAGTAGTTTTAATTAAAACTTCTTGGTTCGGAGTGTACTTTAAAGTTATCTAAAAGAGATTTAAAAACAGCAACTGTAATAATAAAACTTCTCTTAATTTATTAAATATGCATGTAAGTAAATTATGTATATCATTTTAATTTAATTTTTAATATTAGGTGACTAGTTTTACTGTGATTAAAAAAAGAAATGGTCATTTACAGAAAAGAGAAAGCATTTATTTAATTTAAATCTACATTATACAATAATTCAAATTATATCAAAATTTATAAAAAGTCTATTTTTTTGGTTTGCTAGACATTTTTTAAAACTATATTGTCTATTTAAATACATAATCTAACAATCAAAAAGTTACGCACCCCTGCTTTTCCTAATAACCTTGCATTGGTTTTGTTTACATTTGGTATCGCTTTTCGTTGGCCGAAGTATAGAAAATTGAATACTGCGGTTTCCAACCCGACTCCCAAGCTTTGAAACTATGTTATGAAACAGTTATGAGCAGGCCTTTGTTAAGCAGTGGAGTTTGATAAGCTGTAATAAATTAATATCACAATGTACGTTCTGAAATACAAATATATAAAACATTTCCTAAATGACAAAACATACAACATATGAAAATTAAAATTAAAATTTCTAACGCATGGGGTACGTTGTAAATGCAGCCGAAAAAGCTCATTTCGCTGCAAAACAGGCACGCAAACGAGAGATCATCGCTCGAAGCGAGGTCTCCTAACAGTACTCCCGAGCTCCGCAGCCTCTCCACGTTATGTAACAGCTAGTCCCTCCGCGCCTGGCGATACTTCACTACGCCACGGGATCCGCTCCCATATCATAACAATACAAATACATTTTTAAGATATCTAAATAATACACGTAATTGCATCCAAAAATTTTATATAAAAATTGAACGTTCTCATAATCACATGCAGTCAGTGTTTTGTTACTTTTTATGAATATTTTATCAATTCATTTTATCATTATTACCTACATATTATTTATCTTAAATGAAACCAACGGTTTAATTTCAAAAATGGTGATTTTCAGGTTAGTAGAAGAATTTATAATAATAACACTAACTTATTTAATATACAGCTATCATACATTATCATAAGGTTGATATTTAAATAAAGCTCTTTTCACTGCCGTTCTCCAGAATCAAGGAGTGATAACATATTAACTCAAATTTTAATTTTAGACCGCAGTCTACTAACTCAAACATGTTTTTAGTATTGAAATAAGAATAAAATTAGCCCGTATTTTACTATTAATCAATAGGATACCTAACAGTTGCAATATAGCAACATAAACGGAGCGGAGTAAAAGTCTAAAGTCATAACTATCTTTATTAAAACAAAACAAACAACAAAAGGTGTGACATTGTGCAGATGTAAATTAATTAGCTCATCTAATCAATTCAAATTAATTAGCTCATCTAATCAATTCGCTAATTTATGCGAAGCTCGCTCCGCTCCAATAAATTAGAGAATTAGTTACCTAGATAATAAAGGAAAAAAATCAATTTCATATTTTATTGTTTACACACCTTGTCTGCGTTCAGCTACAAATATTGCCAAAAAATTTATGGAAATTGGCCCACGGGTTACGGAGGAGATAGATTTCAAAGAATCGTTTTCTTACATCATGGCTCCAATTATAGCTACAATTAGAGTAGAATTAGAGTTCAAATAAGACTTGCAACGAATATTCGGCTATTATTCGGTATCCGGCCTATTCGGCTACTTTTATCCTTTTCGATCGAATACCGAATATCTAGGTACTATTCGGCCGAATACCGAATACCGATAGTAAGAGGTATTATTGTGGTCAGATAATGGGTAAGATGAAAATATTTATTTAATTTATATTTTTTTTCTTGTAGTCATTAAAGTAGTCATAGCTACATAATCAACTTCCATGTTATAAAAGTTAAAAAAGAGATATCAGATAAATGTCTATGCACTTGAATTATCGTAATATAATGGTGCAAAAGGACTACTTCTTCTTAATTTTCGGGCAGTAGTTTACTCTTTTTCTTGTTGTAGATAATCCCAGATTCAGAAAATAGGCTCTCTGAAGAATAAACACTACTTCCTTCCTTGTCGAATACTTTTTCTTAATATTCGGCTATTCGGCCAGGAAATCTGCAGAATATTCGGTATTCAACGTATGGCTGAATACCATTCGTATCAAGTCTAGTTAAAACAAAGCTTAATGGCTGTGCTGAAAGAAAGCTAATCATCATGAGCTATGATGACTGATAATCTTAGTGAGAACACTAGGTCAAAGCTTTGAAATGGTATTGTATGTCTGAAAAATGAATTATTCAGACAAACTGAGGCGGGTGTAAACTGAATTATAAAATTCCGTTATTTTTTATACACATACATAGTTGACAGTCTGACTGCCTTGTTGGTAAAGTGGTTATAAGCGCGGCTACTTATCACGAGGTTCCGGGTTCGAATCCAGGATCTGGCCGAACCATGTTACTGGCTTTTTCAGTCTAGAAAGTCTTATTAGTAGTCCGAAGTATAGAATTTTGTGCTGTTTCACGTTCATGCCGTGAAAAAGCGCGTAAAGTCGTTGGTCCTGATGAATTTCAGTCCCATCGGACTATGAGAGTGAGGGAAAAAACGGGACACCTGTGCTTACGCACATACTTGTGGACTATGATCCTTTCTTACGCAGATCACTGCGCTCAAACTGGCCGCCGTGAATGAAATACGGTCTGGAAGATATTATTATAATAAAAGATTCAAAAACATACCACGGACACACTTTCAACATGAGCTGCGATGATTGTAGATAGATAGATGGATAGAAAATTCTATGTTCCAATCAAAAAAATTGGTACAAAGGCGAACTTAATGCCGAAAAGGCATTCTCTGCCAGCTAACTTTCGGTAATGTGATGAGAGCCATACATCTTAATGAGAATATTGGATCATAGTTGTAAAATAATTTTACTGTCAATGGTTCTTAACCCCTCTGCAAAATTTCAAATTATTTAGACGTCCAAAAGTCCGCGTTAACTCAATTATTAAATTCCGTTACATTGGTACATACTTATAAAAACAAGTTAAAGTTACAGCCTATATACGTCCCACTGCTGGGCACAGGCCTCACCTCATTTCTGAAAGGGTTTTAGGGCAAGGAATTGTCCGCCACGCTGCTCTAATGTGTGTTGGCGAACTTCACATGACTTCAAAATATTTTTTTCTTATTTCTCAGACATGCAGGTTTCCTCAGGATGTTTTCCTTCACCGCCGAGCACGTGGTGAATCAGCACTCAAAACTGCAATTAACAATTTCATCGGTGCCGGCGGGGATCGAACCTCGTGTGTACTGTGAAATTTACAGCGAACGCTAACCATCTGAGCTACCACGGCATCATATGTCCTATAGGTCGAATTTTTTTTATTGCACCTAGGGTGACAACGATAAACAAACATACAGTCAACCTGATGGTAAGTTCTTTGGATGGTAGAGCCACGCCGCAGCTGTATTTAGGCTCCAGCATGAATTGATCGGCTCGACTGGGGAAGGACCGCGTTCTCACAGAATACCAGCGTAAAAACAGCTTAATTTTTCTATGCTTCGTAGTAAAAAAGATCCGACACTGTTTTACTGGTAACGAAGCATTCCATCTGGGTCCAAAAAGGGGTAATAACGCAATTGCATTTTGATTCTTAAACGATGATAGATATAGTCGTCTATGTGCCACAGCATCCACTTATCATCAGGTGGACTGAGTGCTCGTTTGTATTCCTGACTTCCTTAATTTTTAAGTGAAGACACGTAAGCAAGTACGATAGCTACATTTATCCCCGATTAAATATTAAATGCAGATGAGGGTGCGCTCCTGAGGACTAAGATAGCAGTACACGTACTGCTGCTTGGTAATCGTTAAAAGAATAGAACAGAATAGTGAAGTACGTTGTGGCAAAGAAGTTGCAAGTTCGGAAGAAGTTCAAGAAATTTTTAATTGTGAAATAAATAGAGTTGGATGGTGAAAAAGCATTTGTCATACAAGGATATGGTTATAGTTTCTTTATATCTAAATAAAACCAATTTGAATTTAGACTAATAATCAAAGCAATCAAAGCATTGGGTCAGCCATATAGCTCAATGAATCTTCAATCAAAGAAGAAAGGTTCTTGAATACAGACTTGTATTGATAAGAGGAGTGTAGGCCACTATATGGAGAAACAGCCTAGTAAGATATGCAGGAACTCGATAGCTAGTGTACCTTTACGGGGTAATGAACATTTTAATCTCTTTTTTGTAAATATCCCTACTAACTTCCACAGATTATAATTAAAGTTTTCCCTCATAACGAAACAGGGAAAGTTGCCTTTCCATTGCTAATAAAGCGCGGACGTACTGAGAAAGTTCTCTCTGATAAATGAAGGCTATTATAACTTATTTACAACTTATCTTGCCGCTTTAACTCTAAAGTACTTAAATGCTATCTGTCACAAAATACAGAATATTTAAGTTTTTTATTCGAACTAATTTTTGAGGGCTTAAAATAACTTGACTTACTGAATCAAGCAATGTAATGAATCCTTGCTTTGAATTTGAAATTTAAATCTGAATCTGAACTCGTACGAGGCAAAAAAACACATAATATTTCTATTTGATTCTCACACTTAACTGTTATTAAAAAATGTTATTTGCACCTATTACAACGTATCAATAGTCCACTGCTAAATATATTCCCCACCCATAGATTGTTTCATAGAAGAGAAATTTGCCATAGTTCCTAGGATTAGCAGTCGAACTGGCAAACGCAGTCTTTTTTATTTTATTAGGATTTGTTATTTTCTTGTCTCTAAAATGTGATTTATTTTCAGATATCAATACGTCTTCTTGCTACTTCCTTTACTAATAAATGGAGAATCGAACAGTGAAGCAAATACTGCAAAAGAAAATACCACTCATAGTTGTCCCTTTACAAGAATAATTGAAGACATATTTAGAATTCAAAAGAAATATTCAGAACGTCCTTTAAAAGATGGTGAAAAGGCAAAATTATTACTTAGTACAATTACCAATCATACAACCTACAATAATACTCATATATCAATTCAAGACGAATTGGTAAACGACATTATTGCATCTATAAACAGAATTAAAAATAATACTACGTTACAAATAGACTCAAACGAAACTAGACTTAACGAAGCCATCATTTTAAAAGTGCCTGAAATAAATAGTAAAGACAATAAAAACGCGACTAAAAGTGAATATGATTTTAAACACAATAAAAATACCACTCATGTCAAAAGCGGAATTGAAGATAAATTGGATGTCCAATCTCTTGAAAGCTCTCAACGTGAGTTCGACGAGCAAAAGCTTAACATAAAAGAAATAACTAATACTAAAAACACAACAAATAAAACAGGTTATGCAGAAATTTTAACAATAGAACCTAATAATACAAATCAAATATCCCAACACAACATTATCGAAGTTCTTAAACATTTAATGCCTATGTTTAACACTTCATCAAACAAAGAACTTCATAGTGTAACTATAATAGAACGAAACCAGAGCAAAAATCATTTAATTTCCGAAACTAAAAATGTTTCAACGATTGTAGTTCAATATTGTGACAAAGGTAATCATACAGCAGCAAATTTATCGATTAACATGGATAAAATAAACACAACTAACTCTGAAAATGCCGGAGAAGATTATTTAGACGCTAATAAAGAATTACCAATTATTGATCAAGAAAATATTGAAGATGATTACTATCCAGGCAAAGATAGCTCAGATTACAGCGAAGAACAGGAAGACCCAAATGCTAATTCAACAACCAACAAAAAGAAAGACGTCTTAGAAGCTGCTGAGTATGGAATGCAGAAAATGCATGAACTCTACAGTGTATTCGAACCAAAATTGTACTCAATGGGTAAGTACATCAGTTGCTGAATTAATTTTGTAAAGACGCAAAGTTACAGATCATGTACGTTCCACTCCTGGCACAGGTCCACTCTCATTTCATTTTATCAGTTTCATCAGTTTTAGGATAAATAAGTGTCCACCGCGTGGCCCGAATGCGTGTTGTCTTCACACAAAATACAAAGCTCAAAAAACTGCGGTTGCCAACCCTACGCCTGCCAAGCGCAGCAACTTTTTTTTTAATGAACAGGTCACCTGTTGGTAAGCGGATGCTGTGGCCTATAGACATCTACATTAATTTATCCTCATTTAAGAATCAAAAAGCAGGTAAGTTTTCACCCCTGGGGACTAAAATGGAATGCCTCGTTTCTATTAAAAAGGGTCTCCGGTTCTCTACACTCATCATACGAAACACAGCACAAAACACAGTTTTTACGTAGAGCGTAAAAACTATCGCAAATATACTCTATGGCAATCTATGAGTGAGTCCTATGTTTAGCAGTGAATTTTAATAGACTGTGATGAATAAGAGAAGAATGCAAGTAAAGAAATGCAATGAAAGATAGCATCTGTATTAAAGAAAATAATAACAGATTGCGAGTGAACTGTCACAGTAATGGATGCTTACTAGCTTACCATTAATTTTAATATGATTACTCGTTTATTTCTATTTTAAAGTTTAAGCATTTTTTAGGTAAGCTCAATTGACAATCATCAAATAACTTTTTAACTTTGTCACCTCGCAACCTATTTGCACTATGATAGACGTACAGGCCAATACTTAGAAGATTTATGCATAATCTTGTAGAGAAAATTGTGTATTTAGTTGGATGACAAAACCCACTGATATAGATGATTCTTCCAGGTATTTGGTTAGACGACACAAATCCGGCGCGCTATGTTGCTGCTTTCAACGCGCCCTCGGAGGACATTGCCAGATACACCCGTTATGGTTATGCAACTTTGCAGGCTGCCACAAAATTGAAGGAACTGAATAGGTGAGTTTTCCTTTGTTTTATACTTTCTGTTTTTTTTTTTTTTTAAACTAAAGATGATGCGTTAAACAGTACAAAGTGACAGCAAGAAGAAAGATCAGAAAAGATGACCCCACCACCACGACGAAACCATAAAGCAGGAGAGAGAGAGTGTTTATTATTTCAAAGACCTAAGTCCAGATTCTCCTCGAAAAAACTTAAGACGAGTGTTTATTTCTTAAGCAAAATCGTCAATATTAGTCCTGTGGAACAAATTATTTCTCATTATGATTTCTTATAATTACGCGAACACTACACATTGAATAAAATTACTTTTACGAATTTTATCGCTTTTAATTTTAATTATATTTGCTATTTCCAGTCCGTACCGGTTTACATAATGATTTCTTATATTTATGCGAACACTACACATTTTTAATTTTACGTTTTCGCGTTTAATTTTGATAATTCTTCAGTCCGTACCTTTTTACATAATGATTTCTTATATTTACGCGAACACTACACATTGTTAAAACTACTTTTACGGATTTTATCGCGTTTAATTTTGATTATAATTGCTATTTCCAGTCCGTACCGGTTTACATAATGATTTCTTATATTTATGCGAACACTACACATTGTTAAAACTACTTTTACGGATTTTATCGTAAAAGTTGTTTTAATCGTTTCTCATTGTTCTTTTCCCTTTAATTGTTAAATATAATAATGACGAATGAAGCCATCAGGCCATCAGTGGCCAACATTAGTAATTAAAATTAAAATTTATGAAAAAAAATTTATACGTTGTAGAACCACGCATCAGCACATTATGGCTGCGACACGGATGGGTCCTTTCAATCTAAATACGCTCAATGGTAAAGACTACAAGCGTCAAATAGCAGCGTATTGCCACTGTTTCGTATATTGATTATAGAGAAGCAGTGACCTTTTTACTAGTCGTTGAACCAGCGATAAAGGCGACATTAAGAAATCTACATCACATTGTTATTAAGCCATTGCCACTTTTGAATAATTTTTACCTTGCTCGATCATTTTTAACGTTGATGCTCTAAAATGAGATTGTGAAATATATTATTATTACTTTGTCTATTGGATGAAGAAAGATTCGATAATTTAACGCAATGCGAACCGATAAATCGATTTGGTGTTGAAAAAGCAATCCCTAAAATCATGCAAGTAATTTACTTCTGTAATTACACTTTATTAAAAGAAATTACTCAAGTATTGAGCCACTTTGTTTGTAAATCGACTTTGTGATTATTATCTTCGTAGATTAATCTTGTATCTATACCATATCGCTTTAAGTTTTGTGCTGCTTTTCGTAAACTTTTGCGAAACTCGTTGACCGCACATCCGGTTCAAGAATCGCATGGTTTTTGTTATTTGCGATCTAATAAAATATTGGATGCGGCAGGTATATGTAAGAAAAGAAATCGCAGTTATTCTTTTCCTAACGTAATGGTGACGAATTTAGACATTTTTAGGTAGTGAGGATTGTCTGACTGTTTCAGTCATCACTTAAGGTAGGTTGATTAGTGTAGTGCACATTAGTCGTCTTACGTGTTCCTGCTCACTGTTACCTTCTTTTTTATTTTGGCCGACATAAAAGAGATGGAATGTATCACTTTGACTGTATATTTTGTCAACTGTGAACGATTCTTTTTTCATTAAATAGGTTGTACTTTAGGGGTAATCAATCCCCTTATTATTATTAAATTATTGAAAAATTCCACCCCTAACGGTGTGAAAACTGAAGATGAAGTATTTAATGTAAGTATTTAGATGATATTCTAATACGCTCAAAAGAATACAACAGTTAAACTTTAGAAAAACGTTAACACCGGCTTCAACAAACTAAATAGCTTCAGAAGTCTGATTCTTCTATACACTAGGACCTAACACCGACTTCTGAAGCTGTTACTTGGAAATTCTTTTTAGCTCGATTTACTTTTTATTTTTATTAAATGTTTAATTTTAAGAGAAGCAATTTTATATTCTATTGCATTTATTAACTCCATTTTGTAAAAGGACCATCCTAGGCGAGCCTACTGCAGCCTCTAACTCAGCTGCAGCGTGGCTCCACCGCGTAAAAAATCTCTATTTTTTTGTAATGTAATAAGAGGTGTGGCGTGTTAATGTGGGTGAAATTGTTATTGCATTTTAGGTGATTTACGTGTCGGCGGCCCATTATTTTTCAGTTTTTTTTTTACTTTTTTTTTTTTTTTTTATAGATTATATAATATGCATAATACTTATCAAAGTCATTTTTTATTTAACATATAGAATGTGGGTGACAAACGAGCACACAGTCCACCTGACGATAAGTGGATGTTGAGGTCCATAGACATCATACATTTATCATTCATTAGGAATCAACAAACACAATAAAACGACGGGCGGACGATATAGGGTGGTAAATTCTCTTACGGCTCTACTACACCGCTTAACGTAGAACTCTGAATTTTCTCCATTTGATTACAGTTAATAATGTTGAATAGTTCATTATTTCGTATGAATCGAGTGTAATAGCTCCTGGATATTTTCCTGTCAGACCGGTCTAACAAGTTCATCAATGAGCAACGTCCTGTACTTAACATAAACACATGCCTTTTGAAATGGCCATCTTACTAAATGTTAATCAATGCACTGCACTAGAAGTAACTTGATTGCATAGTTCAATGTTCATTCAACTTAAAGGTTGAATCGTGACTAAACGTGATGCGTGGGAAACAATATATCAAAATATATAGGTACTTTTAAGAGACTTAGAGTATTTTTTCATATAATAAGGATAGCAAACATATCCTTATTGTAAGTGAATGTGGCCCAAAATATCTACGTCAATATTAACTTATCCACTTGCAAATACTCAATAATATTTTGTTAAAATAGATTTGAACAGTAGTTGTGATCTTTGACAATCAAATATTTTATTCTAAGTTTTAATTGTAAATTTATGGAGTTAAAGACTAAAGAATTGACGCTCTCAACTTCAGAAGCTATGAAATTATTTTATTCTATTTAGTTTCTTCAATTTTGTTTTTACTTTTAAGTTTAATTATTTTGTAAATAACAACAATAATGTCATCTAAATAATTACATTAATAACTTTATTTCTCTTCTTTCCCTAAATTTAACTTTATATCTAAAATTCTAAGGTAAAACTCCCTTTTTACATTTTGTTATGAAAAAATGTACAAACTAGCACATAGTCCACCCGATGGTAAGTGGATTCTGTGATCCATAAACATTTATATTTATTCTCGATTAAGAATCAAAATGCAGATATGTTCACCCCTGAGGACTAAGATGGAATACTTCGTTTCCAGTAAAAAGGGTCTCCGGTTCTCTCTACTCACGCTACATTCTGCAGCGTTACAGCGCTACATCTTCTATTTTACGCTGTTATTCTGTGAGAGCATAGTTTTTTCCGGTCGAGCTGATCCATTCGTGCTACAACTATAATATAGCTGCAGCTTGACTCTACAACTTCAAATTTAAATTGTGCCACTTTTGAGGTATTGCCAATTATATAAAAATAATTCATTAAATTCGATTTACAAGTGTTGAAGATATAGTACATATAACACTCAGTAGAAAAAACAGATCTTCTTTCTTTTTGAAGTCGGCTGTAAATACCTTTAGTTGGATGGTACATACAAAACACCGCTATATTACCGTATCAAATGAATAATCGATATCGTAATGGATTTTTTAATTATTTTTCTGTTAGCGAGTTTTTATTAAACAGAATTAATTTTAGATGTATTTGTGTCATTTTAATTGAATTTCATTGTTGGCTTAGAAATCATTTTGGTACATTTGCGTGGGTGGTTCAATGACTGGAGTTAATTTTGTATTACGTTTCTAACGTGATGGTGCTTCGAAATAATTGATGGGGGAATATGTGAGGCAAAAGAAATCAATTTTTTTTATATCGACAGCTGGGTGTATATGTAAATATACATATAGTTAGTATATATAGTATATATATGTATATATATATATAATACAACGATACTGAGAGCTCGAAAGTACAATCATTAAGCGATTTCCACAGGGAAAAGTATTGTATCATCTACGAAAAAGGTCAGAGTTTTAGTATTCGCGCTGAAAGTTGTGTAATCTACGAGTGAGGCGATTCACAGTCTGAGAGATATAATGATTCGTTTAACCGAGAAGGGATATTATTCTCCAGTTCTTCAAGAGACCCCTTTTCTGAAGACATTTTTTGAAGACCTGTACTTTCAGACTTCTGGTCCTCGTCTCCGGCGTAGCACTATTGATATTGATACTAATTTCCTTCTCCTTTTTGTAGAATATGGGTGAAAAGCGATCAAACAGCCCATCTGTTGGTAAGTAGAAGCTGTGACCCATAGACATCTTTATCCATCCTCGATTAAGAATCAAAATGCAGATGCGAGTACTAAGATGGAATGTTTCGTATCTATAAAAAGAGTTTCCAGTTCTTCACACTCACCATACGAAACATAACAGCATTGTGCTGCTATTTTACGCTAGTATTATGTGAGAGAGTGATCGTTCCTCGGACGAGCCGACCCATTTGTGCTACAACTTTAATATAGCTTTAGCATGGCTCTACCCCGTACTGAACTCTTCCTCACTTGGAGTTTGCCTCTTTTTATGATGCTGGAGAGCCATTCTAATCTCGCTCACACTGAAGTCCTCGATATCGGAATCATTATGGTTGTCACTCCATCTAGAGGAAGGCCACCCTACACTTCACCTACTGGTACGAGACTGCCTATCGAGAATCTTTCTTTGTCATCGGTTGTTGGTTCTTACATGGCCGGCCCATTACCACTACAGCTTACTAATCCGTTGGACTATGTCAGTTATTCTGGTTCTACTGTGGATATTCTCATTTCTAAGTTTACCACGCAGAGAAACCTCGAGCATAGCTATCATCGGAATAGTGTCAGATAAATAAGCAGCTAAAAGTTTATCTAAGTGTTTAGTCGCGGCGGAGTCGAATCCCGCAC